GAAGGTAATAAAGTAATCATAAATATAATAAAAATTTTATAAATAATAAAATAAGTAAAAATAGAAAATTGCAAAATTTTGTGAAATTAAATAACCTTTATTAATCATTAGTTCTTTAAATCTAAAAGCACTCGATAATATGCATATAATTTCCAAAGTTTCATAATCTAGTGATAAAATTTCTGATTGACTCAATTACATATATTTAAAACAACATTCAAAGTGTGATTTTTAGAAAAGGTAATAAATAAAGATGTATTGGATTTGTATTATTTGACGTATTATTTTTTATTTTAAGAATATTTCTTTTTTTTGGCAAACTGTTAGTAAATATAGTTATAAGTAAATCGATTCTCTAATAATAAATACAATAATGCAAACAAGTTTAAAATGAATACTACATATTAAATTCTTGAAGAAAGATCAAAGATTAAAATATGTAGATATTTATTTTAGACTATGTATGTAACTGTCAAAATGAAAGAAGAATACATTCTCTTTCTGAAAGAACACTGTAAACTCTGGGATTGAGGTCACGACCCCTAAGCGAAGGGAGAACGATTAAAGGATAAACAAAAGCCATTGGTCACTTTCCTATAACTATCGATACAAAACGTCACTTCCTAGGGGGAGGGTCCGAACCTTTGTTCGAGGGCTGGGATTCCCTTCACCGCTCTCTTCGGGAGTTGCGAGGTTTGGAATTTGTTTTACTATCGGACGGTGGTATAGAATAGACTCCGGGGAATAGTGACGTCACCGTCCGTGTTCAAAAGCTGCGAGGTTTGGGGTCTTGGTGATCCTTGGTCAGCAATCTGCAGTTAAGTTGGCAAACAAAGATACAGGATCTATACATTAGCAAGCTAAAGAACATATTTCCAGTGGAGGTTTGCTTCCCTCGAAGTTGATAATCAATGAGGAGTGAAGTTTTAGGATGCCATGCCCGATTAAGAAGTCAGCACACAAGTCTTTCATGACTAGAATTTCTATCCCTTCATAGCGATGAGCTTTGACCTCAATGCTCACGATACAACGTCCAGCAATTGCAGAATTGGCCATTGTGATCTTACCAAGATATGGTACTAGTTTAAGCTGGCATATTGTTATATGACGGGAGTTTATAAAGCTGATGGAGCTACCCGTGTCAATTAAAGCTTGAAGTTTAACACCATTAACAGTCATTGTAGCTAACGACTTTTGTAGGCAACTAGGTGCAGCGGCTGAAAGTGAGGCTAAGATGTGTGCAAAATGTCCCTTCTTCGCTTGTATTACGCTGTTGTTTTGATTTACATACTCGTTGGTAGTGTCCTTTCTTGCCACAATTACGACAGGTTACATGCTTTGTAGGACAGATGCTTCGTTGGTGGCGATCATTTCCACAGAAAAAACAAGCATTCGATCGTTATGGAGTTGCGGTAGCAAGGAAGGAGTTCTTGCTCCTGTAAAGTATTTCCTTCAGAAAGGGACCTAGTTTCTTTCGCAGCTGTGTGCACTGGTGTCTGTACTGTCAGATAAGATGCTGAGTGCACTCTGCCATTTCCAAAGATCTAGCTTGATCAAGAGCATCATTTAAGTTTATTGTTGTGTTTTCCAGCAGCCGTTCCCGGATGCGAGCGCTTTTTAGGCCCCGAATAAATGAGTCACGTACGTACTCGTTTTTGTATTGTTCTCCTATGATAACCTTGAAATCACAATCCTTGTTGTGTTGTTTTCAGTTTTGTAAGTATTCTCCAACTGTTTCTGTTGTTTGTTGACCTCTGGAGGCTAAACAATGTCTAGTAAAAATTTCACTGCGACGTACAATATATAGAGAGTCCAGGGTAGATATAGCATCGTCATAGCCTTCCACATCGTTGATACTTAAAAATGCAGTCGCGGAGATGTAATTGCATAAGAGCGAAATCTTACCTTCTTCGGTAGCATTAGATATTTTGGTAACAAAGTTCGCGAAAGTCCGTTTCCAATGTCTCCATTTGGTTTCTGCACCCGAACACGTGGGGTCCATATCAAAACGCTCTGGGGTTTAGCAATTGCTCCATGGGAAAAGAAAAACGATGTTTATAAGCATATGATAAGATATTTATTTTGTTGATTAAACTGTTATATATTGATAGAGTAAAATAAACAGATAAGGTTTAACTTTAATCAACAAAAAAAGACGCATAATGTTTTTGGTACATGGTTGGTTTATTGATACAACATACATTTGCAGGCTTGTGCGCTCAATTAAGGCTTATAAACCTTTGTCAAGTAGAAGGACAGATAGCACAATACAGAGAAGGACATCACAAAGAATACATCCAGGTTTACGGCGGGATTCGAACCTGCCACCTCCAGGCTAAACAGAGCGTTTGGCAGGCGATACCGCTCGGCCAGGGAGGCCCTTAGTACATGAATGATCCGGATTGCAGTAGGATGTAAACAACTCAGTGTTGCCAAATTACAAACAGTAAGAG